TCCGATAAGTGAAATGTGAGGCTGAAGTAGGGGATGGAGAAAGTGTGTCACAAGTGATCCTCCCTAGTTCTGGGAAGAGTAAAAGTAAGAGTTGGAGAGCTACTTTTAAACTTGCAAGATTCTGTTACTATAATCTTTAAATAAATCTAGTATTGGTACTCACAGTTGGTGCTTCTGGTCTGGACTAACTCAAAGGGCTGACAATATGGTTTTATGGATTTGTTTGGTTTGGTATGCCACCCAGAGTCCATTGGAGCTCGGCAGCTAATACATTCAAATAAAGAAATGAATGACTCTGGACTGATGTTAAAACATTGATGTTAATACAGTATGTTTAAAGGTGGCTGTTTGTATTGTGAACTTCCTTTTAGGTAATCATCCACAGGAGAGGTTCTTCTAAAGATTATTCTGTCTTTAGAAGTTCATTGGGAACTAATCAACATTTGGTATTCATTATAGTATCTACTTCATACCACAGGAACTTCTTTTGCCCTCCAGTATCGTTGCCTTAAGGGGACGTGGTGGTGCAGCAGCTTAATGACGCTGAAAGCTGCTGGCCAGAAATGGTCGACACTTCAGCGTTTTGAGCCCAAGTCTATGCGGCAGAGTGAGCTCCTGTCTCATCCCCAGCTTCTGCCAACCCAGCAGCTCGAAAGCATCTGCGAGTAGATAAATGGGTCCTGTCACCCCGGTGGGAGGAAAAACGCTGGCGGCGCCTTGCATGGGAGACGGGACCAGTTGCCGATAATGTGGAAGCCATGTACATCCGAGAAAGGAGGGAAGAAATGCAAACCCATCCTCCTGCGTTCGCCAGCTGGGCTCCGCTGTAGGAAGGAGGCAATTGCAAACCACTTCCAAAACACTTTGCATGAAAACTGCAGGGACTCATCCAGGCAGTCGCCGCAGAATCAGCCATTTTTTATTTTCAGGATTAAGAAAAAAAAAATCTTTGCCTTTGCGTTTAGAGGGTCACTTAAGACATATCTCTTTAGCCAGATCTTAAATGACAACACTTTCTCCATTTGTAATTAACCTTCCTTCCTTCCTTCCTTCCTTCCTTCCTTCCTTCCTTCCTTCCTTCCCACAAACACACTGTTTCTTTTACCTTGAAAACCAGATTAAGTGTGCTTTTTCAATAGGAAGATAGAATGTGAATTCAGTAAATAAATGCATTCCATTCAAAGAAATAATTTATTTGGCATACACTGAAGAATCTCTGATTATCTGGCAACAGCAACAATGTACTATAATGGATGCCACATAAATACAATATAGTGATTCAAAGGATGAAGGGACAAAATACAGTAACAAAGACACAAAACGTGATACATTTAGACTTTTTTGAAAACACAGTAAATATCTGAGCCTAATGCAATGTAGAGATATACTGTAACAGACATTATGGGGACACCAGGTCAGTATCTTGCATTCAGCTGCCATGACTCAAATTACATCTTCTGGTTTGCATTTGTATAATCAGCACAATTCTGAGTAGGACCAAAAAACAACAACAACAAAAACCCACCACCCTAAGCAGATATGTTTATACATGTGTTGGCTTCAGTGTGAGTCAGGACCCTGGCCTGAGTGACATCATTTGTCATTGGGAATAAGATGATCCAGAGTGCCCATGTTTTAAATGATG